CCATGGTTGAGACAACAACAAGAGATAAGGGACTGAGGATGCCGCTTCTGACAGAGACTTGGTGACACTCAGCTGAGGATTTTGTTCTCTTGCCTAAGAGAACTGTCAGGCTGCCTATCCAAAACTCCTCCTGCTTGGAAAGGGGCTGGTGTGAGCAGCAGGAATTGTTGTTGGCTGGAACATTTCAAAGAGCTGCACAAAAGAAGTGTTTTGTGGAAGGCCGCCAGCTACCCTTTGTCAGCAGCACAAGGTGGGAAGGTCCCCTTTGAATGCCAGCCCTGCACAAGGACAGCCTTCTCCAGTAGCCACAACACCTTTCAGGCTTTCGGGCTGGCCTCGTCCCTCACTCTGGAGGAGCAGCTTGCTGTTGGAACTCCCACAGCCACAGTTTCTGCCTGCATTACCGTGTCTTCCCACAAACAGCCCCGGAGACAGCACTACATAGAGGCTCCTTGGAGTCAGAGGCACAGAGTGTGTGCCCTTCCCTTTGATCCCTGGCTCTGACATCCAGGAAAGCACTGCATTTCATAGAACACCATGAAAACAACTGTTACAGTTCAATAGAAAAACTAGGAGTGCAAGTGTGTCAATTAGAAAGTTTTCTTAAGTCACTGGGTGAGAAAATTCAACTGGAAGGTTGAAGCTAGTTTAAGAAAGAAGAGGCAAGATGGAGGAATTAGGGCGTTGTCTCCTTTGCCTTCTTCATCTCCTTCTTCATCTTCTTCTTCTAGAGGTTTTTTGGTAGCAGTAAGTGATTGGATAAAGAATGCCGCAGTGCAGTGAGCAGGTGTTGGGTCATTGGGTCACTAAGAAAAATAATTGACTTGGCGTTTGTTAATTGGGTAAATGGACATATAAAAAACCTTGAAGATCTTTGTTAGCCATTTGGCACCTTTCTATATCTTAGTGCACGTAGCTCCTTGTACCTTGTATGCATGTAATGCAGATAAAAGAAGAATAAACAACCGAGTCCAAACAAGAGAAAACTGCCTCTCTCTCATCAGTCTCAGTCCAAGGGGGAAAAAGAAGCCAAGCACAAGTGTCCCATCAGGACAGAGGCTCAATCTCCAATCAAAGGGGACTTTGTTCCAGCTTTTCCCTTGGAGCAGCGTGCAGCAAGCACACCTGGGCCTCATTCAGGTCTCTGTGTGGGCTGGCAGGCAGCTTCTGTTGGGAATTTAAAGCTTTTCCTCTACTTTCCACAGCAAATAACAGACCTCACCCAGCTGCACCAAACCCCAAATTTCACTCTAAAAAGAACCATTTGCATTTTCCTCCATTCCAGCCCTGAAGAAAACAAACTTCACTTGCGGGAGCTGGCGGCACGGTGTCCTCCAAGCCCGTTCGTGAGTAGGACAATATTGCAGGGGAAGAGCGGCAAAGCCAAAGTTCACTGATGCTTAGGAAGCTTTGCAAAACCTTCCCACCTGTGCTGGTGTTGCACCCTCCTGAGCTCCTGGAGCCCTCACTCACCTCAGGCGCAGTTTGGACAGCAAGGGGATGGTTCAGTTTGTGCCATGTGGGGACAGCAGGAGGGAAGACTTTGCACACACTGTCACCAGGGCAGGGCTATTTTCCTTTTTGGTGCCACACGGTAGCACATCATCTTTGATTTCATGGGAGTGAGGGAGGTGCTGAAGGGCAAAAATTCCCTGTGGGAAGGACACCTTCCACTCACACAGCAAGGCAACTGAAGGGGAAAGTGCAATCTCTCTTTCCTGGAAGGTGTTCAGCTTTTAACAAACCAGTTTTGCTGAAGATGAGCCCAGGCAGTGGTGAGTTAGAGCATTTGATCCAACTCCCAGAGTACCCTCACATCTGTTTGGACACAATTTCTCTTTGTTTTTCATGGTGAATGCTTTCTCCTGCCCCGCTGCCTCCTGCTTGGAGTTGTACGCGCAGCAGAGTCCCAGAGTTTTCTCAGCAGGCCTGTGCAGCGAGTTCTGAGCCAACGTGTGGCTCTGCTGCCATCCCAAAGCTGCGCTTTCCTTGCCCAGCCTGAGCGCAAGTGGGGCATGTGCTGGGCGTGGCTGGAGATTTTCATCACCAAAATCCTCCAGCGTCATGGCATTTCCATCTGCCCATTGCTTTGGAGAGCACAAATCACAAACCACCCATCTCAGCTGATAAATGTCATTGCTTGCAGATTGCTGCAGCTGCACAGCTGAGCTACAAATACACATGAATCAATTTCAGTTGAAAAATGTCATTTATTACAAATTGCTACACCTGCACTGACAATACACAACTATCAAAATCTCCATTAAGTTGAAAAAAAGTCATTTATTATATTAGCACAACAATGGCACATAAAAATATACAAATACGAACTTCAGTTAGCAAAAACTTATTGCTAACCTCAACAAGTCACTATAGACAAAAATAAATGAGATATTTAACAACTTAATTTATTACAGATTATTTTAAGCTTACAGCCCATACAGAAATACAAAAATATCATTGTCTCCTTCTAAATAACCCTGTACTAAGAATTCGTTTGATAGAATTATACAACTATACCACTTCATCCACGTTAAAATTAACTAAATATCTCTATATATACATATATAACAATCTACAGATGGAAATACAGTTAAAATTAACTAAATATCTCTATATATACATATATAACAATCTACAGATGGAAATACAGATTAAATATTATATATTTCATACAATATATATATACATATAATATAATCAGAGGGATCCCAGCCGCTCCATCTTCAAAGCCTCTCCCTCAGTGTTTTCCTGCCATGCAGAGCAGCTCTCCTGGACAGGGACAGCAGATGGGACATCTGGGAGGCAAAGGGAAGAGCGAGTCAGTGCTGGGACCTTTCCCTTGGCAGCAGCTGCACTTCCAGCAGGGAAGCGAAAATCTCCGAGCCTCCCCAGGAGGGTTGGCAAGAACAAGCAGGCCGAGCGGGCCAGCGTGTGGCGAGCGCAGGCGCGGCGGGACTGTCCCGCAGCCCCCGGCAGCCCGGCACAGCTCCCGGGCCCTGCCGGCACAGCTGCCTTGCCCAAGGACAGCCCCTGTGCCGGCCGGGGCAGCAGCGCTGAGCAGCCCCAGCACGGGCAGGGGCCGCTCCTGCCCGGCCGGGCAGCGCCCACGGCCAAAGCCCACGCCACCCTCAGCCCTGCCCGGCCTCACCAGCCCTGGGGCCTCACCCAGGCTCTCGCGTGGCCCCAGCACATCCCTGCTCACTGCTCTTGCTCCAGGCCTTCAGCTTCTCCCTGCTGGCTCCTCTCAGTGTCTGCCTGTCCTCAAGCTCTTCAGGACAGCTGTGGTGGCAAAAGTGGAGGCTCTGCAATTGGTTGCAAGGCCTGGCAGAGCTGCAGTCCCTGAGCTCTGTGTGCTCCCTCCTGGCCCCCTCCATCCCCTCAGCCCCGCCGTCCTCTCGGCAAAGCCCCAGCCCCCTCTTCAGTTTCTTGGGCCTCTCCCAGGCCTCTCCCCCCGCTCAGTCCCTTCTGAGCCGTTGTGTCCCCTCAGAGCCGGCACAGCCCTCAGCCCGTGCCTCTGTCACCTCCGTGCCACCATGGCCCTCTGCTCCCCCACAGCCCTCAGTGCCCCTCACACCTCAAGGTTTGCAAGGTCCCTTCAGCATCAGCGCCTCCTCAGCCCCCTCAGTCTCAGCGTCCTTCAGCAGCTCCTCACAGGACAGTGCCTGGGGCCAGCGGCAGCTCCCACTGCTCCAGGGACAGCCAGGGCTGCAACTGCTGCTCCGCCTGG